CCTTGTTTACCTTTTATTTCTTGTTCTGACAATCTATCCCATCCTCATCCACTTGTTGTCAACACTCATCCAATGATTGCTCATCCTAAAAATGGTATTCATAAGCCTAAATTACTTTTCATGTCCACTATCTAATCTCATCCTATTCCTAAAGACCCTTTTGAAGCCATTCAAATCCCTTATTGGTGCCAATATATGATTGATAAATATACTTTCCTTTAACAAAATAACACTTGGACTCTAGTTCCCCCTCCTTCTAACAGACCTGTGATAGGCTATAAATGGGTTCTTAAAACCAAAGAAAATCCTAATGGTACATTGAATAAGCATAAGGCATGCTTAGTTGCTAAGGGGTTTCATCAAACTCATGGTTTTGATTACAATGAAACATTTTCTCCTATTTTAAAACCCATTACTATTCATGCTGTTTTGACCTTGATTTTACATACTTCTTGGTCAATTTCACAAATTGATGAGAATAATGCTTTCTTAAATGGTACACTTAAGGAAGAAGTGTACGTGTGCCAACCTCCTAGTTTTGCATCCTCTGATCCATCCTTGGTTTGTAAGTTACATAAAAGTCTTTATGACTTGAAGCAAGCTCTAAGAGCTTGGTTTCAACAACAACATTAGCTTTATAGAAATTTGATTTTGTATCCAACAAGTTTGATCCATCTTTTTTTATTCATGACTCTTCTCAAGATGTTACTTACATCCTAGTTTATGATGATGATATCATAGTCACTAGAACTTCCTCATATATTGATTATCTTAAAAAGTGGCTTAATGATGAATTTGCTTTGAAAGATCTTGGTGAATTACATTATTTTCTAGGCCTTGAGGTTAAATGTCCTAATACTAGTTTGTTAACTCTATCTCAACCCAAATACATTCATGATCTACTTGCGAGAGCTAGAATGCTTCACTATAAGGGTGTTATCACACCCATGACTACAACTGCTAAACTTATGCATTTTGATGATGTCATTTTTCCTAATGCCCAACTGTATCATTCAATTGTTGGTAGTTTGTACTATATTACAATCACTAGGCTAGAGATTTCTTTTAGTGTTAATCAAGTATGTTAGAACATGAGTAATCTAAAGGCAAGTCATCGGCAAGCTGTCAAAAGAATCCTTAGATATCTTCATGGTACAATCAATCATGGTTTGGTGTTCTCTAAGTCTTCTACCCTTGATTTGCTTGGCTTTTGGGATGTTGATTGGGGCAGTGACATTGACAATTGACATTATACATCTGGTTTTTGTGTGTTTTTTCGTGGCAATTTTGTTTCTTGGGCTACTAAAAAGCAACCATTTATATCTTGTTCTAACACTAAAGTAGAGTACAAAAGTTTAGCTCATGTTACAGTTGAACTCCTCTAGCCTCAAAGTTTGCATTAGGAACTAAAGGTTCTCCATTCTTGTTGTTCTCTACTAGTTCTTTGTGATAATTTGAGTACTATTCTACTCTCTTGAAATCATGTGTTGCATCATAGAACAAAGCATATGGAACTGGATCTCCTTTTTGTTCGTGAATGTGTATTTCAACATTAGCTTCTTGTGTAGCATATTCCTTCTACTCATCAAGTTGCTAATTTGTTTACAAAACCTTTGTCCAAATCACAGTTTGAATTTTTGTAAGTCCATGCTTAAGGTTCATGATACCTTAAGCTTGCAAGAGGCTGTTAAAGTATAATGAGATTATGCCATTAGTTAAATATTTAGTTGTATTGTTGTCGATGTAATCATTTTAGTCAATTTAGTAAACTGACTCAGTTACGTGTGTATATACATTGTACCTTCTCATTAATCAATACAAGATCAAAATTATACTTTTCACTTTCTTCTCTTTTCTCTAAATCCTTACAACAAATACCATTGTTCCGACACTACAACATCAAAATCCATTTTGAAATTAGGAAGAAAGATTTAAGAAATGCTTCATTAAATAAAATAGTTAGCTCATAAGTGTTGCTTCATCTACTTGGGAATGAAAGGCTTAGCCACGCATGGAGATCGCAACCAAGGCTTCATCTAGCTTCCAATTGAACTCGCCATGGTAGCAAAAGCACCAATAAATTGAACAACTCAAACCCAAATACTCCAAATTAAGTGAAAGTCCCAAGGGTTTATGGCTGATTAATGGAGGAATTGGATCAAAAATTGGATGGTTAAATTGGGAGAATTGTGGAGAGAGAGTACACTAGTAGGAAAATTGATATTAGTGATGGACATATCTATCACTAAATGGCAAAATTTGCAACTAATTTCTATTTTAATGACAAAAATTTTTGTTGCTAAATCCGTTAGAAATACAGCATCACTAATCTATGTGACAGAAATGTATCCGTCACTAATTTTGTAAGAGATGTTATTTGTCAATAAGATAAATGGATCCATCACCATTATTTAATTTATTAATTTTATTGATTTTATTATTAAAAAATCTTATCATATGCCATACCCCACTTTTAAACGGGAGAGGATTCCCATGCAAGAATGAAATAAAAAGGAAAAAGGTAATAAAAATTAGGAATTGGAATTGACAAGTTGGCCCTTGAGCTTCTCCTCTTTTCCTTCATGTAAAATATACCATTAGATATACTAATCTTCGTTACAAGGTGCAAATTTTCTCCACCATCTCTTCTTGCACATATGTGACCTAAAATGCCAATTGAAACCATTCATTAAAGTATATGTTGTGCACAATCAATATTATGTGTTGAGTAAATTCTTTAAAGGTATGAATGCAATTGCGAGCATATGAAATGGCATAAATGAAATTAGGGGGGAGTGTTGCAAATGCATAATTAAGGGGTCTTGAAAAATAAAAAAATTATAAGGAATGACGAGCAGCCATTCAAAAATGAGAGAAGAGAACAAATGGACAAGAGCAATGAAAAGACTCCATTTCTTAAGGATCTTCTTCTTAAGAGTGAGTCTATAAGCTCCCCATATAATAAATGGGTGAAGAGTAATGAAAGGACACAATTTTTTTCCCTCAAAATCACAAGGCTTAAATTTGTGTCCTTAATTATTGTTGGAAGAATGACAGTTAGGTCTCAAAAAACTAAATTAATACCAATGAAGTCCCTAGAAAAAATTTTTTACAAAATGAATTATAAATATCAATTCAAACAGTTATAAAAGAAATTTTTGTTATAGTCTAAAAATTACATTTGATATTTTAATACTTATTTGTAATTAAAACTCCTAAATTTATAATAATTTGGATCAATATTTTTAACTTATTTTTCAAAAAAAAATTGCCTAGGACTTAACTGGTATTACTTTAGTGTTTTGGGATCCAACTAACATTCTCTCATTATTTTTTGTCGGGAAAAGTAACATTTTAGTCTTCTAACTTTTAATTCACTTGTAACTCAGTCCCTCAACTATGACTCGCTGTGACTCAATCCCTCAACTATGACTCATCTATGACTCAATTCCTCAACTTTTAAATCACTTACAAATTAGTCTCTTAACTTTTGTTAATTTTTTTTCATGTTAGCTTATATTTCACATCAATGAGCAAGAGGAGAGTATTTTAAAATAATATATAAGAATTTTTATCCCTCTTATTTGATAAGAAATTTTTTAAAAAAAATTAAAAAAATAAGGACAAAGTTATATATGAATCAAAAGTTGACGGGTTGAGTCGCAGCGAGTTATAGTTAAGGGATTGAGTTATAAGTGAGTTAAAAGTTAAAGGATTAAAAGATTATTTTTTTTTATCTAATATATTAGTTTTTAAATTCAATTTTATCCAGTTAAGACTCCTCATATCAACCCAAGTCTATTCACAATTGGACATACCAGCAATAAGAAGCTTAAAGCATCTGAGCTCTAGGATTGAACAGTATGATGTGAAAATGGAGATCTTTTTGCCCCTTTTTCTTTTAATTTACTCCTCCCCCCTCTCTTGTTCCTTCGTCTTTGGTTTATTTTCTTTTTCTATTCTTCTTTTCAGCTTTAGATTTATGAATGTCCTTAATTATTATTTTTCCTCTACTGAAATCAAATTCTTTCTCTGCCTCTTCACTATTATTCTTATATTTTGTTCATATTGATTGGTTTTCTTCTGTCCCTTCTATCTTCTTCCCCCCTCTTTGCCAACTTTCTTTTCCTTGGCTATTTTATTTTTTAACTTCTCCAATCAAGTCAATCGAGTTCTGTTGGTTTTCTATGTTTTTGTTTTTTGGGGTCCAAAAGAGAGCTACGCCCAAAGTATTAGACTGAAATTACACAACAAGGGGATTAAATCCCAAACTATCAGCAGTAACAAAGCTCCCAATGACACCAGGAGCAACCTCGAACAGAGAGACGAATAAGTGAGTCCCTCTTTTGCTAGCCTATCCGCCACTTGATTTTGATCCCTCAACACATATTGGATCCGTACCTTCCAATTCCATTTAAGCATGCTGAGAATTTCAACAAAAACCAAGCTTCCCATATGTTTATTAGATCTCGTTCCATCAATTAGATCAACAAGATTCTTGCAATCTCACCCATCAGTTTAGTCAAGATTTTGGACACGTCATATGGCCAGTTCTCCAATTCACTAATCCAACCCGCCAGTTCGGTCCAGTTCCATATATTGATTTGTCAAAAGTCTTTTTTGTACCATTCTCCCTACCACATGTGCCATCCCAATCATCTAATTTTGAACCATTTAAGGCCCAAACCATATCAAATCATGGTGGACTACTGTGTCAAGCCAATCAATAAAGTAAATACTTTAGTTCTTCTTTCATTTTTGGGTGGAGTGGCATAGATGCATTGCTTCTATAACAAATAAAGTAAGCATTCTACCAAAAAAAAAAAAAAGTAAGCATTATGTTTTTACAATAAATTAGATTCCTCATTTTATCTTTTTGTTTGATCCATATTCAAAAGTATTGAAGTGATTTCAATTAATCATACTAATAAAATTTATTAAAATATTGATAGAAATTTTTTAAATATGGATTAGAGTACCGAAATTATAAACTGCAAGAATGATGGATCTAATTAACAATAATCATAATAAAAATTATATAAAGCCCAGTCATGAGCCAGCAAAGCTCTAATCTTAGAAATAACAACAGAGTCCGGGTGAGTGAGGATTATTGTCGCTTCAATAGCTTCGTAGGAATTTGATTCAAGGATAAGTCTATGAATTCTAAAATCCCAGCCATTTTAAGTCCCTACAAGCATGGCCATGATTTGGCACGTACACAATTACCTATTTTTGAGGCATTGCTCTTTGGCAAATCCAGAGAATCCCAACAAGAATGGTTAGAGATACTAGTAATCCCAAGAGAATAGCTGTTGCTTTCCTCACTTGATCCTCCTTCTTGGAGGAATAATCTGCACAATAATACCATATTAAGATATGAAAGCCCACGATATTAATTATTAAGAGACATTTAGTAAGATAGAATATAAGTGAAATTAAAAATGAGATAAAAATAAATTAAGAAGAGAAAAATTAATTATTTTAGTCATCAAAATAGTTTTATTTTTTTTAATCAAATAAAAAATTATAATAGACAGAAATAGACATTCTGGAATAACTAATAATTATAGGCACATAAGCATTATAGATTCTTAGTTTAGGTGAGTACTAACATGTGAATGGTTATATCCCTACCCCTTTCAAATGCTTTTAGCGTGGATATATTATTTAAAGAAGATTGAATATTGTCAAAGAACATTGCGCAAAATAAAGCATAAAAGCATATGTTATATATGCTGTGACTTCTTTTCCTTCTCTCTTTCCTCTTTTTGATTGAATTGGTATAAGTTAAAATTATATTAACATCTCACTCTTTTCCCTCTCTCACTTTCAATTGAATGGAGTATATTCATATATAACTTCATTCATATATTGAATATTTTCTAGAGTAAATTGGATTTTTTTTGTGAACATATTAATTGGGATTTACTTCCTTTAAAATTTATACTGGTGCCCTTTTTAATAAAATTCATATGAGTTTATTTTATTTAAAGGAAAAAATCGTGCAAAGACACTATTTCACCTCAGGTGTGGTCAACTCTTCATTGTTGGGTCAAGTTTTGATTGTTTGCAATCTGAATAAGTAACGCTTAAACAGGGGGAAATAAAACAAAAAAGAGAAAGGGAATAGGGGGAAAAACAAAAACAAAAGAAATGATCCCCCACATACATTTTTTGCTTTTATAGTTAGATCTTCTCAATTGAGCAATCTTGTTAGTGGAACAATTGAGATATCTGGATTTTCGAGTTAATTTAAATGGTTTTAAATTTAAAAATCTTTTTATTTACTCTAATTTTTTTTTAAAAAGTACCTATAAATTACAACAAAATGATTTCTGACTATTACAAATTTTAAAAATATATATTAAAATTAAAAGGGGGAAAAAAGACAACCCAGAAAGATTTCAATTGAAATTTGCATAATTAAAACATCTCCTATAAAACAAATGACAAGTATATGATCCATAGAGAATCTTGATTATTATTTATTTCCTTAGACAATCTAAATTCTTCTTTGTTTTTGCATTTATATCATTAACAGTATTAAGATCATTCAAATTTTCATCAAGATATATTCTACAACTAGCCATAGAAAATTGCACATATTCAACGACTACACTCACTATTAATTAATGAGAATTTTACCATATTCAAATAAATCACATTCTGATCAAGCTGCATCTATAGTGATAAAATATGACACAAATTTTGAAGAGAGAGAAAAAAGAACCTCTGGAAGAATGCCCTAAAATTCTAGTATATTAATTAATATAGCATGAAAATTTGAGTTAACTTACTCAGTTAAACCAATAAACCATTAAACCATATCTTAATCCATTTAACAAAATGTTTTGTTTATAATTAATTTAATCATAAATCGAATACAAATTTAATTATTAATATTTGAATTAATATTTTGACTAATTTAATGTCTGGTAAACGACAGAAAGAAAAGAAGGGATAGGTAAACGACATACCAGAAGCTTCTCCATAGTATCCATAGGCCCTGTAATGAACATAACATTGTGCTAAGAACACAGCAGCTTCTGCTGCTTGTGTTCCACATAAGCTCTTCATCTTCTCCACAGCTTCCACAAGGCAAGAGGAGCAATCTGCTGCTCTCAAATCCCCCAAGCACATAGCAACACCCTCAACAAAAGCTGATCTGCTAACCCTAAATCCATCATTAGCCGCCATTAAATCTGCAATTACAGCATCTCTTCGTTGGAAGAACTCAACATCGACACGCCTCACCGGTTTCCTACACCTTCTGAACCTAAGGCTTGTGTCAGCCTTGCCCAAGAAATCCACATGCTCGTATCTGAGAAAACACCCTTCTAGCTGCAAAACAGCACCATAGGAATAGGGACAAACTAGGGTTATTTGGCGAAGAGACTTTTCAACACATTTTCTGCAGTCTATTGGCTGCAAATCACCCATACATTGGTATAAGCCATAGATTGTGCTGGCTTGATTTGTTAGTGATGATGTTGTTGAGCTTTCATTGTTATTATTTCCAATGGCAAAGCTGTGATAGGAAAACTGAGAGGATGAACTGAAAACTGAAGAGAGAAAAGTGTTTAAGTTAGTTTCAAATTCAGTATTGGGTTGATATTTTCCTTCAGAGCAACCTGCATAGATGAAGGTTTGAGGCATTATGGTTTGGTAGCCATGATCATGAGAACTGAGTTCTGATGAAGAAGAGAGATAAAAAAGAGGAGAGAGCTTGAAAGTTATCATGAAGATGATAATGATACTGTACTGAGTGGAGTGCAAGTGAAGATCTCTCAACATTATTTTTTGGTCTCCTTTCTCTGCAATATGAATGGAGATTTTAGTGTAGCTATTGGTTATGAGAGTAAGATATAGTGGGTTTCTTTTTGTGTTTTTTTGTCGGTGATTAAATAAAGGAGCTTGACTTGTCATTGCCCTATTTGTGTATCTTCATTTGTTATAAATAGCATCAACCTTTTTCTTTTTGGTTACATGCTATAGCATCAAGGTTCATTGGTTATAAATGTGATGACACGATGGCTTTTTTTAACAAATCCTTGGTCGACGGCCCAAATGTGAAGTTTGGCTTGACCCCAAAGGTATTTGGAAAAATATAAAATTATCTTTGAACAAAAAATATAATTATTATAACTTAGAATATATCCTTTATAAAAACTAATATTAGGATAAAAAGTAATTACTTTTAAAATTACATAAAATCAACAATTATCAATTATTTTTATATAATATTGAGTTAAAAATAAATTTTAAATATTACAAGAGATTAAAAAATTAAAATAATAAAAAATGTCTAAAAACATCGTAAAAAAAGCATACTACATGATAACTCTCAACACAAAAAGGCATAAAATAAAAAATAAAAACATTGTCACATGCTCAAGAGGGATCCAATTTTTTTTTTTTGTTTTGTTTTAAACTTCTTTAAAAAAATGCTTTTTTTTTTTAAGTTTTCTTTTTGGTTTGAAGTTCACTACTTGAATTGCCTTTGAGGCTAAAGTCTTGATTCCTAAGATGAGATTAGTAAATTGCATTGTGCTTAATGAGATATAACTTTTACCTTACATGAATTGATTAGGATAGCATAACACTTGATGGAAGGATGTTTGAGTCTAATGCTTCCTTATAATATGCATTGATTTACTTATACTATTTCACTTTCTAAAACTTGTCTCTAATCTTTGTCAAGGTTATAATTGCATTTGCATGGTGAAAATGATATTTAAGGCATTCATAAAAATAGCTAATTATTATTAATCAAAAGGCCAACCTTAAATGAGATTATATCATTTGCTAACCTTTTTGAGTTTACTAGTTTGTATTCTTTCATTTGTTCATTATTCACACCCATATTTTTCCAAGAATACATGTTAATTCATATTGTTTTGTTGTTTGGGATATAATAGCATTCCTTGACTTTAAGTTGTGAATTTCTTGATTTGCGTTAATATATATTGATGTTGTGAAGGTGCAAGAGTGAAGAGGAAAATTAAGTGTAACAAGGAAAATCAAAGAAATTAAGGAAAGCCAAACAAGGGGGAAAAAGAAAAGAAAAAAATGATATTAAAACCCCCTCAAATTATATAAATAATAATTTAATCTTTCAAAATAGTATAATTTTATTAAAATTCTTAAAAACTTCTATGTTAATAAATTTTAAAGTAAAAAAATAAGTTTACCTTTATTAAAAATAACAAACCCAATCACATTTTTACCTTTATTTAAAGCATTCACAACTTATCAAGCATAATTTCTGTTCTAAAATAACAAGCTCCAACAAAAATAATAACTTTTATTTTATAAATCATAAAATTTAAACAAAAAATTATAACTTATGAAATATAATTTTTGTTATTCAAGAACAAGTTCTCAAAATAACAAACCCCAATTATAATTTTTATTTTAAAGATAAAAATTTTTATTCAAAGAATCATCAAAATTGAATAAAAAATCACAACTTCTTATTCATGCATGTTTTATAAATAACAATCGATAAATAACAATCGATAAATAACAATAAAATCCTCCCAACTTACATAAATAACAATCTAGTCTCTCAAAATACTATAATTTTATTAAAATTTCTAGAGACTTTTATGTTAATAAATTTTAAAGTAAAAAAATAATTTTACCTTTATTAAAAATAACAAGCCCAATTACAATTTTACCTTTATTTAAAACATTCACAACTTGTCAAATATAATTTTTATCCCAAAATAACAAGCTCCCAAGAAAAAAATAACAACTGTTATTTTATAAATCACAAAAGTTAAACAAAAAAATATAACTCAGTGTAATTTTTGTTACTGCAAAACAAATTATCATAATAGCAAACTCTAATTACAATTTTTATTTAAAAAATAATAAATTTTATTTCAAAAATCATAAAAATTAAACAAAAAATTACAATTTATCATTCATGCATGTTTTAAAAGGAACTGTTTCAAAAAATTCATACTAAGATAAATGAAACATCATCCTCAACAAGATGTCTATAGAAAATATTCGAGATGTTTTACAAGAAATATATAATCTGGTTTGTGTGCGTGTGCAATTCTATGTATTTAAAAGTGACAATGAACTAATATCTTACATTTTCTTGACTTATCATGTAAATCTTTTAAATTTTAAAACATAAATTAACTCTAATTTAACATATAAATATAAAGTATATTAATGGTTTAGCATGTGTGTGTGTAAAACAAATTAACCTTTAAATCAATTTAATTTTTATCAATATGATCTCCATTTGTTCTCTTATTTTTTAAAATTTCAAAGTCAATTTTTCCTAGTAGAATAATTACACTTATTTTCATTAATCTTTATGGCAGTCATCAATATTTTATTATTATCCATGTCAACAAATTTTAACAATATTACTAAATTTTTAAATAATAAAAATCAAATTAATAATCAAAGCAAACTTAAAGAACTCAATAAAAATTAAATTTAAAAAAAGCTTTAAAGGACTAAAAATTTGTATCATCCTTATTTAAAAATATCACTAAGATTTACAAAAAATCATCACTTTAAGATGGTCCAATCAAAGCTAACAGTCATGCAAATCTGAAAATAAGCCCTTGGATTCCCAAAAACAAACACATAAACATATTTTTTCTTTCAGTAATCAATTCAATCCATCCACTAGTAGAGATAATGAGAAAATGTCATGACCTAAAAGGGATTGGCTGAGAGGCAAGTACTGAGACCAAGACAACAGTTTGGATCTTGAAGAGAACATTTTCCGCAAGGGTTTTGCCAAACTACTAGAATGATCCACATCAAGTCAAATAAATTGCATGAAGAAATTTTCATCAGGTGAAATCCAATTGCAAATATTTTTGACAGTGCAATGAGTGCAAATGTATGAGATACCTCATACTGTGAATGAGGTTCTCCTCAAACTTTCATTGTCAAATCATTATGATTTATTTCTCAAATGATTAAAAACAACTGACTCAATTTGGGAGCGATGTAAATAAGAAAAAATTTTGGCCAACAAAAGAGACTTATGTTAAAACCCAAGATCAAAGTTATAGATCCAAATAAGAGTATAAAAACTGAAAACAAAGTAAAAATAAGGACAAAAGAAACTGAAAACAGCAATTCTAGCCACCAAAAAGACAGTAACTATGATAAAAATGGGAAGGGACGGGAGCTTCAACACCCAATCTTTCGAGCACATCCCCTTAAAAGCTGTATAGGAAAAGCAACCTACAGCTTAACGAAAGAAGTCTTGGATTCTACCTGCAGCAACTAAACCTCAAGGCTTTGCCAAGATTTGAAGCATCCACTAGAGCCAAGCAAATCCCTTCTGAACAAAACATAGCATTGAAAACAGCTGGCACAAGTGGAGAACAAGCAGACACATCCAAAGCCTCCAAAACTTTCAACAAATAAAGAAATGAGGCACTTATTTCCAGGAGGAATCCACCTCAAGTCATCTTTAACTTTTCCACCAATAAACCTAAGTGGATCAGCAAAGATATAACCAAGACAAGGCCATGCAAAGCTACTCCTAGGAGGCAAACAAATATCAAGCTCAACCATAAGATGGGTCTGGATAGATTTACAAGTCAAGGACCACCCCCAACAGAAGGATCTTCAAACATAGCAACATCTGGATATAAATACAAATGGCACAAAAAATATAGCCCAATTCTTGATTTATGGCAAATCAGAGAAGAGTAATCTAAGAAAACCCTGTCCAACGTGTTCCTCCTCCAAATTGAAAATAGCAACCGCACCAAGTAAACAAAAGCCCACCACCAGTAGTCCAAGGTAAACAACACAGGAAAAACTGAAACAAAGTTCGTTCCCTTACACACTATATTCAAAAAAATCGGTTCAGACCAGACCTTAAGATCAACAGAACAATATTTGCAATATCCTGAAAAACTCTAAGCAAATGTAGTTCCTTATAATCACTAGAACAAGGAAAAAAGTTCTTCCCCTCCATAAGAACCCCCAAATCAAAATGCCTTCCCTTTAGATTGAGGATGGCTTAGAACAAAAGGGTCACCATTAGCAAGAAATAATCATCCAGATCTATAATGCTCTTCCTTCGAAAAAGTCCAAGATATTGCAAAATAAATGGAGGTGTGAAAGTCATACCATAAGGAATCGTACTCATAGCTGAGCTAATTGAAATATTGGTCTCTGTACAATGATTCCCAATCCCTCCATCCTAAAAGACCCCCGTCTCATCCTCTGTTATTCTTCAATCGTCCCATCCAGCAATCTATTCTCCGATATCCATGTATTTGCCAGGGATCTAATCTTCCCAAGCTTCAATACCAACCTGGTCATTGCTAAATCTGGTGGCACCCAGCAAGGATCATCTGCCATTCCCATACAATCAGAGCACCTCCACGATCTCTTCTCTCGAAGCCCAACCCCAGCAAACAATCCTTCCCCATTTTGACAGCCGCAACCCACCTCCATTTTGCAGACCCTCATTATCCCCAAGCCACCACCAATACGCCTCGGTTTCCTCCACACACACACCCAGACCCACACACACCAACCCGCTTCACCAAGACTACCACTAGCCCTCGCCCAACGCGACTCGAGAAAAGAGATCCATTAAACACTTCGCTATCACACGGAGAACCCTTTGGGGATTAGGGAAGGGGGAAGCCCTTGCAAAGCACATCTCTGCAGGGCCGCTGGCAACCCGCCCTCACAAGGAAAACCCGAAGAGAGAAAAATAAAAGAAATTCAGGTAATGTTAATGTCAGAAATATGAGACTCGTTTTGACCTAAAGAAGAAAATTCGATGTGAAAAATGAAGCCAATCAGATCCTAAACCCTCTCTTGTCCAATATTTAACTACTCAAGCAACGGACTAGACATTTTTCAGAGTTATAATGCCTACAACACCAATTAAAAAAAAAAAAAAACCATTAATGGTGTACGATGTTCTACTCAAGGAATTATCAGCTGTTGATACTTAAAAAAGATAGTTAACATAGTTCAAAAAGAAGAGTAGTAGTAATAATAGTAGTATTAATCTCCTGGACATATTTTGTTGTGATTTAACATGGCATAACTCTAACTTTAACATAGATCTCCTAAATCATACTGAGGTTAACATAGATCTCCTAAATCATACCGAGGCTTTATTTTATTACAAGTTCTAATCAACTATTTCAATTTTGAATTTTGGGTTTTACATCAAGAATTAAAAAATAATAATAATAAACAGATTTCAGTAGAGGCAAGTGAAGGGGAAACAACCTCATCGTCAACGATTCATTGGAAAACATTGAGGCAATGAGGCCTTTGAATGCTGCCTTGCCAACTGCTATCAAGGATCCTGATTCGACATTGTTGCACAATAACCCTGATGATGTGAGTCAAGTCTTCATTTGATATTTCGTTCATCATCCTTGACATTGCTGCCCAGCGACCCAAGTTATAATCAAGTCTTCATCTTCCCTTCACCCTTGACATTGTTGCTCAGCAACCTTGGATGTGCTCATGCCTTCTTCCATTTACCCTTTATAAACACAGATTGAAAATGTACTGGCGAATTTGAAAAGGTCTCAGGTTTCTTGAATAAATGCTAAAAGAAAGTTAATTAATTACCTTCTCTCAATTTTAATGCCACAGAAAAAAAATGGCCACCTTCATAAAATAATGAAACAATATATATTACCTCTTCAACTGATCGATACAATGGCTTGTTAGTGGCTAGCTTAGTGATTCAGATCTGAATACAGATTGGCTACTTCCATTGTATCAAAAGTAGTAAGCTAAAAACAATGAAACACAACGCATTTGGAGCTTGTTCATCAATGGCCACCGATGTCAGAAACAACCTTCTGGGGCCTTTACATTGAACAATTCAAACTCATTGCTTGCAGAAATCACCAATTATCATAAGAATTTTCTTGAAGCTTTTGGGAAGGTCCAAACAACTGCATCGCTTGTACATGAAGTTCACTATTTTCTTCACAAGAGAAATCATATTCTTGAGGGGGGTGTATATGATCCATTGCATGTGATAAAATGTTCCTGGCATGAAATGCAAAGGAGTCCAATTTTCTAAATAATGCCCCATGATTAACATCTGCTGGTGGCTTACTGTCCTCTTCAATGGAGCAATCCAAAGGAGACAAAGTTTGTACACATTGAGAAAGCAGAGTCTTGAAACACATGCAAATTTTATTGCATTAAAAATTAATGAATTATTTTGATCAGTACATGGAACACAACCGAGTATAATAATAAAGTGAAATATTTAAATACAATTCCATTTCTTTTATTATAAAGATACATGAATTCCATTAAAAAAGTTAAATTTAAGTAAAACACATTAATAATAATATTTTTTTAAAGAATATAACTTACTAACAAATATATTTTTTGACTTTCATTTCCATGCCAATTAAAAAAAAAAGTATGGAATTTTAACTGTGGAGGTCAATACTAACATTTCTCTTTTCAATTGAAAATAAAATATATATAGAAATAGTAGAAAATTTTATTTGAGCAACGTAAAAAATATGTAACTTTCTGAACATCCAATAGATTATAATTTACAACAAAAAAATTAATAACATAAAAGTTATAAAATTACTTTTCCTTAGCGTTAACGAAACATGCATCTCTTCATGATGAAAAAGAGAAATATGCATTTTGAACATCTATAATTCATAATCTATAAATCTATATAAAATATAAAAATCTTAATATGAGTAGCGCATCTCATTACTTAGATTCCATGCTAGCCAAGACTAGTTCTCAAGAGAAAGAGAAAGAGAAAGGAGAGAATACTTACTTCAGTATCACGCGCCTCTTGCATCCCAGCATTTAGATCGCTTGGCAATTTATCAGGTTCAAATAACTTTACCGCTTCTAAAAGAAGTTCATTTTTTTCTTCACAAGGGAAGAAACTCGAAGGTATCACACTATATTCCCGATGGGGGAGAATATGATCCATTGCATTGGATAAAATTTTCCAAGTGTGAAATGCCAACGAATCCAATTTTCTTAAGAATGTCCCATGATGAACATCTGGCCCTCTCTCTTCTTCCTAAAAGCGATCAAAAAGTGCTGAAGCTTGTCCACGCACAGATAAGAGTCTTCGTACCCATGAAAGTTTGTAGAAGAGAATATTACTTCTACTTTTAGAGAATATTTAAATACATCTTCATTTCTTTTATTAAAAACATATATAAGTTCCCTTGATACAAGTTACAACTATATTTTTTTTACTTTCATTTAGATTCTAATTGTTTTTTTTTAATTTATAAACTAAGAATTTACTAGATTTAAATATATCGGCAGAACACAAATTTGATAATTGTTATATAAGTAACAATAATGTACGCAAATCAGATCGCAATCAGCATTAGTGATAAGATAATTGTCACACATTTTTATTTTTATTTTTCCTAATTACAGAGGTAGGTACTAACAGCCTAAAGCTACAAGCAGGATTGAACCCACAACCTTCCCCTCATCAAGAGCTTATATGCCACTAAGCTACAAGGCCAGTACACATTTTTATACCAAGGGGTTCAATTCAAACATCTTATTATTCAACAAAGAAAAACAGAACACAAATTTTCAATTATGGAGGTCAATGCTAAAACTTTTCTTTTTTAATTGAAAAACATAATATATAAAAATAGTTGAATATTTTATTCGATCTACATAAAAAATAATTAATTTTCTGATCAATGATATCATTGATATGAATGATCAGAAAGAGAGAGAATGCTTACTTTTGCATCATGTGCCTTTTGTATTTCATCATTGAGATCGCAAGGCAATTGGGGCGCAATTGGGTGACTTCTTGGGCAGAAAATTCTCATTCTGCTACATTCATTCACTGAAAGATTATGTAAGCATGGAAATTTCAAAGTGGAACTCCCTGGGTAAAACCATTCTAGTTTTGGTAAAGAGTAAAGAGACAGAGCCTCTAAGTGGTGCAATATAATGATGTCTTCGTTGGCCAAAACATGATTAACCTCTTCGGCTACTACTTCTTTCATTGAATCGCACCTGCTTATGGATATGTTCTTGAGTAAAGTCAGACTTTTGGCCGTTGAGAATGTGAACAAACACTCCAATTTCTGACATTCATTTACAGTCAAATCCACCAGATTGGAGAAACATACAGTCGATGGTACTAAGTAAATCAAACTGGAACATCCCACAACTCGCAAGGATTCAAGCACACCAGGGATTGAGTGCCATGAATACTCTAAACCTATAGCTATCAAGTCTGGCAGATTATTCAGTTCAAGCTCTCTCAGATGTGAAAGGACTCCAGAAATAAATGCTTGAAGGGTGAAGGGCTCTGAATCATCTGATTGTGAAATAGAGCTAAACTGAGGTCTTTCAGAAGGGAAAATCTCTCTGAAACGACTACAACCCACAAGGAGTTTTTCTATATTTCTTGCCTTCCGAAGGAATATATATGGAAAAGCTGTTTGGTCACCATGAAAACACATCAATTTAAGACATCTTATACTCTTAAAGAGGCTCTCAACAAACTTTTCATGTGAAAACATCATAATGTCGTGCTCGCTTAATAACAGTTCTTCCAACTTGGGGACAACCTAAATCAAATGCAAAATATGGAGGTAACTAAGGTATCCATAATTTAATTCATTCACAAAGGAACTAAAATCTAAACTCTCTTAATGAATATTTTACTAATGAAGCCTAAACTACAAGTTCAATAACAATTTCTTGAATTTTGTTGAAATTACAAATAAATTTCCAAATGTGTTCAAAGCTTCCACAAATTTTTTATATAAGTAGAAGATAAATTACGCCAATGAGTTTTGCAAAAACTAAGCAAAGTCTGATTTTCAGAAACCCGCAGAAATCTCCCTTAAAAACCCAAAAGAAAAGGGTTTTCATTTACTGAATTTTACTAAAATCACACAACTTCCCCAATAAGGGGCGGTTCACATTTAAAAAGAGTGGATTTTTGTGCAATTTATTTTTCATTTTGCAGGAAGTATGCATATGTTTTAAAAATATTAGGGGAAATCTATGTAACTTTTAACAAATCTAAGTGCCACTTGGCAAGGGTTCAAAACTGAACCCGTAAATAACCATATATGAGCAACACAATCGTACCTTTTCAACCAATACAATGGCTTGTTGATCCATTGAATGTCCTTCATGCAAGTGACTAAGAAATTCTGTTGCATATGTCCTCATCTTGCTACAATGATACACATCTAGTTGATTTAAATGTGGCCATTCCAAGTGGTGCAGTCCCAAGTAAAAATACTTGAGCTCAGGTAACTCCTATAATGTCAATGAGCTCAAATTGTGAAAGATGAACACCTTACTTGTTACCTCTGTCTTATCCTTTGCGATGATCTCCTCCAATCCTTCACAACATTTCACTTCAAGTTTTTCAAGTTTATCTATGGCCACTGATGTTGGAAACAAACTTTTAATGCTTTTACATCCATCAACACAAGCTTGTTGCAGACACTGAAGGCTAAGGATTCCTTGAGGATCATCATTCCAGATATGATCCAGATTTGGCAGCTTTTCCAGGATCAATTTCTTCAAGTGAAGAGAGTAGGGGGATGTTGGTCCTGAATCTATCACCTTCATACCATTCCTTGAGAAACCTTTCACATCAAATATTGCCTTCACAGAGTCACAATTTCTTACTTCCAATTCTTCCAAATTGCTAAGGTAAGGAAGTAAATGAAAAGGAATAACCAGACAAATTTTGCAACGCTCCATTACCAAAGACTTCAATTTGCTGAAACCCATTTCTGGGATGTCAAAAACACCATGCCATACATCTTCTAGCTCGAGGTGATCTCCAAGTTTCAAATCTTGTACATCACGTACCTATGGGAGCAACACAATTTAATACAGAAGGTATGAGTTTAGGCATGTGATTTCTGCAAGTGGGCTCATTGGCATGTTTATAATTGTCATTTTTATCTTTTTGGGAAAAATATTTACTCAATAGTTTCAAGAAAATTTTAGGAGACACTTTTACCCTTCTCTCAAGTATCTTAGGTTTTGTTTCTTCACCCAAAAGATACAAAACAAAACAAAACGATAGAAGGATTGCAAAGGTAAAGATCTATAATATGTAAGTATGAATTCCTAGTATTGTATATATAATACTAGAACTACATATATACATAGTAATATGCTTTAGAGGCCATCTGGTATCTTTGTTCCCAAATTCTGTATTGTATATTGTATATCAAACAAAAAAATAAAAAGAAAAAAAATTTACATCAATATTTATTTATGTTACTTTGCAAGTGGGAAGGTATTTTATATTCCCACACCTTTCAATTTTTTTTATAAATCAACACTTCTCATATTGTAAATTATTATGAAATTCATGTATAATTGATTTTTAGTTTTTAAAAGAATCATTTGAAAAGCTAATAGATATAAAGACACTGACCAAAATGGCTTGGGTTAAAAAGAAGCTTATATCTGGAGGGTTTTGCTATTTCAAAATATATACCAAAAAATTAAGGCGATGATTAAATGAGAACTTTGGCCTATTCTATGAGTCAACAGGTGGCATGCAATATGTGAGTCTGAATGAATATGCAAGCACGCATCCATGCAGAAAAATAAGAAACACATACCCGATCCCAGAACAACTTTTCTACTGTGGAATTAAGATCTTTAAAGTAGTGCAGATCATAAGGGTCCAGTGATGCTTGAATTGCCATAAAGTTAGGTGCCCAAATGTCTCCTTGAGAGAAAATTTTCATCATCGGGCAATCACATATCGTTGCAACATGTAGTGTTGGAAAGTCTAAGGCAACATTCCTTAAACTAAATGTCACAAGGCTTGACAAAGAATTTAGCGTTAAGGTTGTTAGTTTCTCAAATATTATCTTATCTGAAGCAGATGTGCCTATCTCTGGAGACACTATTTGCTCCAATGACTTGCAATCCTCTATGACCATCTTCTCAAGTTGCACCAAAGTTTTGGCTACCGAGCTCGGCATCAGAAAAACTAACCCATGACATTCATTTATGAGCAAATTTTTCAAGTTGTAAAACAATACTGCAGAAGAGAGAAAAGATAGTGAATATGGTGATGAAGCTCTCACACTTGCAAGCATATAAATATCTTTGTTTTTTTGGGAGGGTAACAACTCCTTGAGTGCGTTGCAATGCCATATGGAAAAACTTGTTAAATTGGGTAGCTTCTGAAAGAATTCAAAGGGCAAAGTAGATGCTTCCTCGTTATCATTGTCTCCAAAGAACAAAGCAAGATCTTTCAACTTGTCAAGTTTGTATGTATGGTATCGTCTTTGGCAAAAAATCGAAATCATTTCCTTATTGAGCCACAATGCCTCCAAGTTGGAAATAACCTATATATATATACCATTGGGGAAAAAAAAACACAAAAGAAAAGAGATACAAATTAGTGTGATGGATGCCATTTTTCACTATATAAAAGTGATAGTGGAGAAATGAAAGGAATTAGAAAAAATTTACATCGACCCATTATTACCTTTTCATCAATCAAGAAAAGGGGCTGTCTATGGGTTGAAGTTCCTACTCCATCCTCATCTCCATGTGCTTCTTGGTGACTTGGAACTTCTTATGTGAATACGTCCAACCTAGTACACTTAAGAATCCGTAAAAGCCCTAACTTGGGGCATTCTAAAATGCTCATCCCAGGATAAAAGCACTGGAGCTTCGGCAAATCATACAGAAACAAAGAGGTCAAACTTTGCAGCTGAAAAGTATTACTTTGTTTAAATGTTGGTTTTGCATCCTTTCCAAAAATTTCTACCAATGCATAACATTTGGATATTTCAAGTTTCACTAGATTTTCAGCCATCGACGCTGGCAAAAGAGTTTCCAGATTCACACAATCTTTAACAACTACTTCTTTAAGATGTGGAAAGCTGACAAGTCCATGAGGATCCTCGCTCCACACACACTTTAGATTTGACAGCACATCCAAAGTCAATATTTTCAAGTGAAAGAAATCTGCATTCATTTTCATTAATTCATCTATATCAAAAATAACCTCCATTGGGCTGGAACCTATTTTCAAATTTTCCAAGTTCTTTAAGTAAGAAAGCAACTTGGAAATAAATGCACTTGAGAGAAAGAAACAATTCACCACCACCAAAGATTTTAGATTTCCAAAGCTTTGCCCTGCCATACTTTTTCTAACTCAGGGTGTTGAAAAAGCTGCAAGTCCTCAGTGTATTCAAAAAAAACCTGAAAAATCAAATGATAAAAGATTTAGTGCTTTTTTTTTTGTGGGCCAAGATGAAAGATGAAGTTGATGCTTCGTTAATTAACTTTATATATTCTTCATAGAAATTTGAGAAAATGCCATCCCTAAGATTATTATTTGAAACTACTTAGACCACCTTCCCAAAGCAATAGAAGTATATAAGAATTTAACCTTAGAACCACAATAAAGTGGATTGCACGTACCATATCCTTGAAAATCTGTTTGATTGTAGTATTAAGATCACCTTTCCAATACCATTTCTCCCCCTCTTCTTCTACAACTTCGACTTTCTTTAACTTTGGAATGCTTGTGATTTTCTCGCAGAAATTTTCCATCTTAAGGCAGTCCCTTAAAATCAATTTTTCAAGGGACGGAAACTTAAAGGCAAGCCCATTCTTGGAGCTGCAGAAACTTTTGAGGTTTCTTAAATACACAAGTTGCAGACTTTTCAATTTACTGAAAACAATCTCATCAGCTCCTTTTCCCTCCTCCATCACAATTTCTTCCATCATTTCACATTGAGAGACTTTCATTCCAATAAGTTGAACCAATGATTTCACAGTGGATGGTGTCATAAAGTTCTTTAATCTTGTACACCTGCTAACTTCCAAATATGTCAAGTGAGTGAAAGATATTGAGGAAGGAAATAAAGTGACCAAACCAGAACAATCAACCAGGTATAGCTGCTCAACCCTTTGGATAATAGGGTGATTTAGGAAGCCTATGTTCTGTACAACATGAAAGTACCACAATCTCAAACTCTTCAGATGTACAACAGTCCCAACTTTTTCGTAGGCAACAAGGCTTTCACTAGATAACATCTCTTTGTTGAGACACCTGACCAAAAACAGGTTTTCTAGATTAGGAGTTCTCTGAAGAAACCAAAATAACATCTCCAAACTCCTCAATCCATCCAAGTAAAATGCTTTTATATTGTGCAATTGATAAACATCATTAACAACACAGCCCTGCAGCCACTCCATTTCCCTTGGGCCTATTCCCATGGCCTCCAATTTGGATATCAGCTGAAAAAATAAAAAAATTAAACTATTAAATATAAGATTTTGGCAAAAAAAAACTACTAAATATAAGTATGACAACACATGTTTCACATATACCAATATGTGTGCATTAGGAACAATCTAACATGTGAGATATGATAAATTTTAAAACTCTAGGATATCAGTACAAGAGGTGAGTGTGCGTGTTCATGGTTGTGTGTAGTAAAATAATAAAAGAAAACTACCAATACAAAACAAATGGAGTTTTAAGCATGTATTTCTCAAACATGAGATGGTGCTTAACAAGCTACCAATTAAGATTCTCATAGGCTCTCACAGCTGTTTTGGAATATTTTGACCAAAAAGAAACCAATAAGATATATATTAAAATATTTTACACATGTTGTGAAGCATGGCATACACATAATATTGAATATGTATTTGACTGAGATATATCTATTTTTCTATTAAAGGATTGGTGATATTGACAAGCAAAAGTTAGTGGCTTATAGGAAATTCAAAATTCAAATAGCTATCATATCTTACATATCACAAGGGAGAAAATGAAGAAATTAGATATATTTTGCAAGCAGAGGAATTCTTTATCACGAATAATTTCATTGATCAAGCATCAAATTTCACTTCATGCATTTAATTTGTATACCTGTTCAATTGCATTGAGAATTGGTTCTACTTTTGAACGCGTTGTTTCTAACCTGTCACAACGAAACAAATACAACCGCTTCAATGCTGAGAACTTGATAGTATGTGTTTCCTGATAGAAGCTCATGAGTCGGGGTAGTCATTCGAATGCAACAGTAGTCAGATGACAAAACTCAAACTTGGCACAGTTGTTGCATGACCTGCCTTCATTAGTAACGATTTCTTCCATTTTGGGACACATAGATACTTGAATATACTCAAGCTTTGAAAGATCAGAGGCAATGGAAAATGGAAAGACATTTTCTATTTCAGAGCAGCCCATGACATGTACATTTTGAACATTTTTGAAATCAAGAATTCCTTTCGGATCTCTACTCCATATATGCTTCAACTTTGGTAGCATTTCAATATAAAGATTCCATAAGTTTGTCTCTTTCTTGCCATCTCTTTGTTTTGAATCTTCAAGATCAAATATCTTTCCACTAACTTGCAATTCATAACCTCTAATCTACCAAGACTACTAAATCTTCCCACCATGTAATTTGGGAAAATAGTGACAAGTTTGTTGCAGTCTTTAATAATCACATAATCCAAATTACAGAACGATTGCAAGCTAATTTTGTCATACCATAAAGTTTCCAATTCCTCCATATCGGAGACTTCCATTTTCTTCAATTGAGGGAAGACCACAATCCCCTATATAGCAGCCATTAAAGTCTCATCAGTCAGCAGTAAAACTAACAATAAATAAGAAAATACTGAAGACAAGTTAATCATCTAATCCAATCATAAGAAATTACAGTAATTAATTAGTATCATTTCCAGCCTATAATCTACGAAATTAGAAAGAGATAGACATATTAATTAATTTCTCATGGCGCATGGTCTGCACAGTTAAAGAGGATCTAGGTTCAAACTACATACCTTCACCTTTAGGCTTGAATATATGTTTCATTGTCACACATCTTCGTAGAAAAAGACTTTGGAGATTGCCCAGACTCCCAACCATGGACAATGAGAATAAATGTTTTAAATTATTACAATCTTTCACATTCAAGTGTGTTAGATTTTGAACAGAAACCTGCAGGCAAGAAAACATTTATAATATCTTGAGTAATTTGTTGAATTTTTCAAAAAATAATAGAAGAGTAAAACATTAAAAGTCAATCCATCTCCTTGGATTAGAGGAAACATAATATAAAATGTAGAAATTGAAAAGCAGAGTGAGGCATATATATTAAGGAAGCTTAGGGATTATACATACATTCATGTTGAAGAGTGCTGGAACACAAGTGGAACTTTGCTCATCTCCTATTGGAAGCATATTCTCATTAGTGCACAAACTAGTCAATATTGGTAAAGATTGCAATGTCAAGGTGTGCAATTGAGGAAACTCAATGTTATCTTCTACCACATCATTGCATGTAATCTCTTGTCTTTCCACAACAACAATCTCTTGCAAAGAATCACACTCAGAAACTTCAATTATTTCAAGCTTTGTAAGATGTCCCACCATTGAAAAGGGGAAGAGATTCTTCAATCGGCAACAAATGTTGATCTTGATGGTTCTTAAATTGCAGAAGGAGGTCTTGGTAAGCAAACTGTTACATATTTTCTCCATACTTCGTAATTCATATAAACACAATGACTCCAACTTGGGAAAAGCCATCATATGCTTCCCCAACTCCATTGAGTTGATTATATATCGAACGTCAATGTTCTTTATAATGGTCAAATGTTTAAGGCATGGAAATCCTTCCAAGTTTAACTCATTGATAAAATTCTAAACACCATCTAGTTCACTTAAAAACAAATGGTCAACACTTTTGAACAGCATTTTGATGATCCCTTTGTGGAAATAGACGCCATTGCCTTTTTTCAATTGCAGTGCCAAGGCTCTCGATGCTTCAGACATACAACGCATCATGAAATCCTTGAACAAAACTGTCTCAAAATCTCCAATGACAATTTTATAACCATCCAACTTGTCATAGGATAAGCTCCTTGGCAAAGTTGCAACATCTTGTATATAAATGTCCAAACGTTTCAATTGTTGCAAATGCCATAATTTATAAAGACAAGCAATATCTGTTGGGATTGTTTGACCCTCAACACCCCATTGGATCAAGTCATTCTCCATATACAGCTCTTCCAAATTGATCAAGTTTGAGATGACATTAGGTGGAATCACTGGAAGTCTGGTACAGTTACTGATGTCAAACAATTGTAGCTTACCCAATTGCCCCAATTCACTAGGAAAATTTTTAAATTTAGATCCTGAGAGGCTAAGAACTCTTAATTTCTTCAACTCACCTATAATAGAAATGTTTCCACCTAGAACACATTGCTCCAAACAGAGCATTCTAAGCTTTTTTAAGCCTTTAATTGAAGAAGGTAAACTTGAAAGATTTATGCCAATTAATATCAATACTCTTAGTTCTCCCATTCCTTCAAAAAGTTTGTCTGGTAATATCAAGGAAGGGTCATTATTCTCAACATGGAAGACCCTAAGTCGAGGGCAATTTAAACTTTCTGGAATCTCATCATTGATGTCACAGTGGTGTAAAGATATAGTTGTATACCTTTCAAAATTTTCCTTGTCAGGCCATTCATCTAGTTTGCCATATCTCATTGTAAAAATGTCTTGCTCCTTAAATGCTATTGACAGGGCAGCTTCACGAACTAAATCATGCATGGTGACATGACCAGAAGAACGAGTACTCAACAACAAACTTGAAGCTTTGAGCTTGCTCACCAATATGTTAGCTCTATCTCAAGCTTCTTTGACAGTATAGACTCCTTGAAATATGCCTAATCCAATGCAATATTTCACTAAGTCTACAATTGATGGATCCTCACTTATGTGAGCACAAAGTAAGAAAAAAGACTTGAGCTCTTCACTTTGCATGTGATCATAGCTCAACTTCGTAGAGAACTCCACGGGTTTTAGCACTTCAACTATTTCTTGCCTTTCCATTTGCTGTAGTGCAATTTCCCAAGCAAATTTACTCTTATTATTCTTCAAAGCCTTTCCAGCTGTAATTATTGCCATAGGCAATTTTGCACACTTGTTGGCAATTTTGGCTGATAATGATTTCAACTCAGGATCGTCTTCAGTTACTCCAGCTACCTTGTTGAACAACTCTACTGCTTCCTCTTCTGCCATGACATCCAGAGAGAAAATTGAACTTTCCCTTATGTCCATTTTATTTGACATTACCTCTTTGCTTCGAGAAGTTACCAAAATCTTGCATCTCACTGAATCAACAGGAGACTTTTCTGGTTTCAAATTGTTTTGGGTGGAGTTAAGCACATCATTGATAGGCATTTGACTGATGTCATTTTCGCCATCATCATTAAATAGAATACCCAGCATGCTCAGGTCAAATCCTACCCAAAGATCATCCAAAATTACTAGAGCATTCTTCTCTTTCTCCAACCTTTGTCGCAAACGAGCTGCTCTTCCAATTAGGCTTTCATCATCCAATCTTAAGCCTAACATGTCAGCTATCTCCCCTTGAATCTTTCTTACATCAGGGGTGCTTGTTATATTTGCCATTACCACAACATTGTATAGCTTTTCTTTCTTAGCTGTCCTTCCAACTGCTTTAACTAAAGTGGTTTTGCCAACACCACCCTGCCCATAGATACCAACCATTTTAGCTGTGGGATCTCTTAGTGCCTTCATAACTTTCTCCATGACAGCGTCTCTTGATTTGCATGGTACATAAACACTATCATTAAGAGCAGCCTCTGTTGCTTCCGACTTCGGGTGATAAGAAATTGCACTAAAATTCGCCTCCTGCAGCAACTGACCACACTGTGAGCTCATCTTCTTTGCTTTTCTGCCTAGCAAATGCCTCAACTTCAAATTAGGGAAACCATTCGAGCAACCCGTCTTCTGGTGGTCTCCATCACTCAGAAACGACTCGACTTCATTGAGATTTGTTTTCACTTTGTCCAACCAACTGTTGACAGGATTTTCAATGTTTTTAGCGTTTCTGATCGCTTCTTCAACTTGACGACTTATGGTCTCCCTTCGCTCTTCAAGCTTCCTAGCCTGTTCCTTCAGTTCATTAACGTTGCACCCATAGTTGTAAAGGTAATCCAGTTGGCGGCCAACAGGTTTCAACAAGGCACTCAACGATTTATCAAAAACAACCGATACAAACTCCATCCTTCTCGACCTTTTTCCCCTTTCCTTTTTGGAATTTCTTCAGCTATATTTACAACAGCTTTTCGAGATTGGAAGAGTAAACAGTTAACAAAGATGAACTAGAACACGGAAAGCAGGAGCGCATGGTGTTTCTTGTCCACGGCTGAGAATAAATCAATGGACAAAGGAAACGACAGGAAAAGGAAGTACCAGTTTCAAAAGCCTGGGGAAGTGAAGTGACTGAGTGAGTAGACCAAAGGAAGCAAGCACCAGGAAGATTATCAGACAGAAGAACGGAGGCAAGAAATCAAGCAGCACATGGTCAACAGTGAACAACGATAATCAATACAAACTCCATTCGTTTCTACCTTCTTCACCCAACAGCTTTTTGAGATTACAAGAGTAAACAGTGAACAAAGATGAACTAGAACATGGAATGCATAGGCGCATAGTGTTTCAGGTCCATGGCTGAGACTAAATCAACGGAAAAGGAAGTAGCAATTTCAACAGTTAATGGAAGTGAAATGACTGAGTGAGCGGAGCAAAGGAAGCAAGCAACAAAAGCATTGTCAGAAAGGAGAATGCAGGGAAGAAATCAAGCAACACAAGGTTGAAAAAGTTGAAGAATGGGAACTGCAAAAGTAGGCTTTCCAACAAAAACGAAACGAAGAGTGGGTGGTTTTTCAAGAGTCACATGGAAGACGCGTGAAATGCGGATCCTCACAAGGAAGAAGAAGACGGTAAAAGCACTGTACTCGGTTGACTTCCGATCAGCTGACCTTATGCACGTGTACTGTCCAGACTACAGATCTTAAATTTTTTTTATTTTATACTCTCAAAAAAATAAAATATTTTTTAAAAAATTAAAAATTACGAAATATAAATAATTTTTAATTTTTTAAAATATAATTATTATCTCTTTATCAAAAGTATTTTTATTGATAAATAATTTTATATTTATTATAAAGTATTTAATAGAAATAAATATGAAAAAATAAAGTTGGTTTAAAGGTAGATAATTATTTTATTGAGATAAAATTCGATTAAAAATGCTTTATATTTATTAACAAAGGGAGTATTCACTAAAATAAAAATTATAAAAAATGAATAAATTTGCTAGATCACTAATTTGAATAACTTAGATCCAGACTGCATGTTGATTTTCTAAATTTAATATTAAAATATTTTTTAATTTTTACAAATTGATTATACATATTTATCTTTATAACTCACTTTTAATTAACTCATCAAAACTAATATAAGTTAATTAGAACAGTAAAATTATCTTAAAAGTAAATTATTTTTTAAATTCATTTCTATTTTAAAAAAAATGATTTGATATATGGAAAGAGTTTTCTTGAAAATTACTCTCTTTGTTCAAAAATATAAAACATTTTTTGAAGAGTTGAATATTTAAAAATATAAGATATTTTTAATCTTTTGAGGTATAATTATTGTCTTTTTTTTTCAAAAGTGTCCCTATTGATAATGATTTTATATTTATTATAGGGCGTTTAATAGGAATAAATATGAAAAGATAAGGTTAGTTGAAAAGTAAGTAACTACTTTATTAAGAGGTAAGATTCGGTTAAAAATACCTTATATTTTTTAATAAAAGGAATAAAATATAGTACTTCTTCTTAAAATTTGCTGGAGGATAGTTTTTGAATTGTACATCAAAAATTATACAAACTAAAAGAAAGTTATCTATATAAAAGACCTAATCTTTGTTTGAGATAACTTGTAAAAAGAATCAGATGAAGTTCTTTAAACAGATCATATTTAAAATTTTGGAAAACTTATTGTTAAGCAATTGGAGAAAATAATATTCATTGTAAAGGACCATAAAAATTAAAACTAGGCTAAAGGATCAAGATAAATGTAATAACTATTATAACCTTAATATAAACACCGTTAATAATATCTTAAAATTAATGCATAAGTTGAAAAAGTTAAAGATAAAGTTATGGGAATTTCAATTCCACACAGATAAAAAAAAAATATAGTATTAAATTTAATTAAATTAATACATTTAAAAAATAATTAATTTAATATAATTTTAAAATTATTAATTTTAAAAAATTAAATCAATATAAGTTAAAAAATATTTATTTTTAAAAAATTAATACATTTTTTTCCGTTGGTTTAAAAAGATCTTTATGTCACTTATCTGCTAATCTTTAAGGCACAACAGCAAAAGTGTCAAATTTAATTTAAAATGTAGTTAGAGAGAATATAGAAATTTTGATTAGACGTAATTTTGTATTTTAAATTCTCAGTAATTACTATTTTTAAGATCGTTTATAATAAATATTATTTTTTACATGTCTTTAGAGAAAATATGACTTTTTAAATGGTAATTTTTTTAAAAAAATCAAAATAAAAAGTAATAAAAATTATAAAAAATTATTATTAAATCTATAATATCCAGAGTAAATTATATAATTAATTTATAAAAATTATAAAAAAATAAATATTAAATCTAGATCATCTACATTAAATCTAAGGCTAAAGTGTATTTTTATCCTTAAATTTTTTTCAATAAGTGTTAGGTACCTAATACTAATAAGTAGAGCAATATTCCCTCTAAACCATTTTTCCAAAGAGTAAAAAATGCCTTCTATTAATTAACCATTACTTTGTCATTTTTTACTAACGTGACATATGTATGAGGCTAGCTCATAGTGATATGTAGGATTATAACCATTTCTTTTATTATTAATTTACTTCTAAATTCTTTTTCTAAAAACATTAAGCATTTTAAAGTCATTTTTAAGAAGCGCTGGATACTCTAAAATCTTGTAAAAAATAAAATTTAATAAATATTTAATAATTTAAATATTATTATTTATAAATATTCATATAAAATTTATAAATTATTTTCTAAATATCAACATGAACAAATATAGAGAGGCCCATGCGCCAATTGCTACCTCTATCAACCATGTCTTAAAAAAATGAAATTCAAATTTTAAATATTAATTTAAAACATATTTTGAATTATAAACAACAAGAAATGTAGTCTTTACCACCTCATGAAATACCACCTCTTAGCTTTTTAAAAAATAATTAATTTATTATTAATTACTCCCTCCTTTTAAAGATATAAGGCATTTTTTGGAGATTGAATGTTCAAAAATATAAAGTATTTTTAATCTTTTAATGTTTAATTATTGCTTTTTTTAAAAGTGCTCCTATTAAATAAATTACTTTATATTTATTTTAAAGTAAAACACCTATTAGATAGGATTACATATGAAAAGATAGAATTAGTTTGAAGACAAATAAATACTTTAACTGGGGTCGCGTTCAGTTTAGAATAATTTACATTTTTTAACGGAGGGAGTATTTATATTATTTAATTAGTTATTATTGTTAAATGTAACATCCTCAATTTTTATATCAGATTAAATAAGCTTAATCAAATTAATTAAGTGTATTAGCAAGGTGTGTGGTTAGAAAGGCCTAATGGGCATGTTTGGTTTCAATTTCAACCCTAAACGCAAGTTTGAAGGAGAATCGGGTTATCCGGGAATGAAAGAGGAAGAAATTCTGAAGAGGGAGATTCTGTGCCATGCATCACGACTTGTGGATAAGTCATCGTAGCGCATGTGTAACAACATGCATGGGAAGATGCTCTCTATGCCATGCACCACAATGCATAGTGCGTCCACTGCGGTTAATGGTCACTTTATTACAATCATAAGTCACGAAATGAAGCAAAAAATAGGAAAAGCAAAGGAAGTTGAGAGAGAGGCAAAAGAGCAGAGTTAGGGCTTGGGAAATATGAGTTTTGGGAGTGTTTTAGAGCTCGTAAACACAAAGATAAGCTTTTTACACTTAAATCTTTCTCTCGTCTTCCATTTTCTAGATGGTAGAAGTTAAGATTTGATTAATAATGGTACTTTTTTGTCCACATAGGTTATGGGTCCAAACCCATTGACTTAAATAAGTTAATAAGAGTAGATTAAGCTAAGAAAACTTAGTATTCATGATTATATGAGGATTGTGGTTTAGGAGCATTTAATGTCCAAAAATCCTCATAAATTTGGTGGTTGGGAACAATGTGGTTTCATTAATGACCATTAAAGAGCTCAATGATATTAACGAGGGTTAAAAGGGGCTAAGAAACCTTATAGGTATTTTTACATAAGTTAAGAATAAATCTTGAGTATTAAGAGATGTTGAGTTATTAGTGAAAATTAGCTTAAATGGGGATATTGATGAATTGCATTGTAAATTCTTGTAGAGTAACTGTAACGTCCTCATATATTCTCTCAATATAAAAGAAGACTACAGTGCTACCACTATCTCACATTAATTAGAATAAACAAATTTCAATTCAAAAGCTTTGACTGAAGATTTATTTTGTAAAATTGATCAATTCACAACACAATCAGAGAAAAACACAACGGAAGAAAATCATATATTCCTCAATTACATAGTGAACTTAACCTACCAGCATTCTTATCCCAATTGCATGCTTTTCAACAGAAAAATAAAACTGAAATTTGGTATGTGCATCGCGGCTAATGGTCAATGCACTGTGGCTTATGGCACAGAGCCACACGCTTGCCCTTGCTGTGCCGTGTGCCGCGACATGTGTCACCATGCGCCACAGTACACATGTCTATATTTCTGCTGCCATTTTAATAGCAAAAATGATAAACTTTTGGCGTGCGTCATTTTCACATATGACATCCGATTGGAGTAATTCAAGCGCCCACACGAAGCTTAGCTCGTATATTAACTAATGAGATAGTTTGGACACGATCTAATGATCTAATCAAAATTTGAACACTCGAGTGCAAAAAGTCACTTTTTCTAAAAATTTTGCCCACCCAAGCGCTCAATTCAATCCCTTTCTCTCATTAAACCATACTAGGCCTTAAACCAAGTCTACAAAGATCTAATACACCCAATTGACCATAATTAATTATAATCATACTCATATTTCAAAATTTAACCCTTCTATGGTAAATTTCCACTATTCACTAACTTTACCCACTTTGCCATTTCTTGGCATAATTTAGCTCACTTGAATATTTCTCAACTCATATATATACAATCATATTCATAATACAATCTTAGCCCCTAAATTACTCATTTCATCATAACTTGTCTCTTGGCTAAAGATTTACCAACACAACCGACCATGTTAACACAAACATACACAAATCATAGCCCTTTTGTCTCAAACAACACATATACACATAATCGAGCTTGATCTTTATAAAATCTCAATTTAATACATGCATGCAATCCTATGACAACTCATATACACTTATATATACAAATCTCAATTCAGTTTATTACACAACCTTAGAGTACACAGCTTCACAACTCAACCCGATCTAAGCCTTCTTCCCTTGCCCTATCACTTCTCGATCCTGTAAACATGTAACCACAGGGGTAAGATAAAAATCTCAGTAACAGAATAACTCACTTCTATTGACTATTACATGCAACAATATGGAAGTAAACATAGTATACCATTGAAACCTCATAAAATAGCATTTATATCATATCTCATTTCCTTTTTGAACTTTTCCTCAATCACAAATAATTCAATGGTATCTCAAGATATTTCATCATATTGCATAATATACTAGCATACCAAATCTCTAAATTACCTCGACACGAAACCATAGGTTCATCTTAGACCAATGTATACTCTCATTAGTCTTGA